AGATCTCATTATAGATGGCTGTGAGCCACCATGTGGTTGCTGGGAATTGAACTCAGGACCTTTGGAAGAATAGCCAGTGTTCTTAATCTCTGAGCCATCTCTCCATCCCAATAAGGGATCCTTTTAAGCACTGTCCCTTTGGGGTCTTCTTAATTAGTATGATGGCTGTTTGATTAATAAAACACTATGTGAAGGAGTCATTTGTCTCTGTTCAAGAAAAGTATTCTCAGTCACAATATTTATAATAAAGGAAAGGATACTTTCCTTAGTTCTAGTACTTAAAATCCTATGCATTGAGCTGGAGAGATGGCTCAGTGGTTAAGAGAACTTTTTGCTCTTAACAGAGGACCCAGGTTTGGTTCCCAGCCCCTACATAATGGCTAATAACCATATGTAACTCCTGTTCCTAATCTCACAACCTCTTTTGGGCAGTCAGCAGTCATGCACATAGTATACCTCTATAGATGCAGGTAAACATATACAGAAAAATAAATCTAAAAATATTTTGGTTTTGGCATGGTGGTATATACCTTTAATCTGAGCACACTGAAAGCAGAGGCAGGCAGATCTGCATTGGAAACCAGATTGATCTAACTAGAACTCTAGGCCTACATAGTGAGAACCTGTCTTTAAAACAAAACTACTTAATAGTTATATGACTTTATTATTATAATACCTTGTTGGCTATTTACATTATCACTAATATTTATTACAAATGATGTTAAAGTGAATACATATGTTTTATGTATAGGAGAGTTTTGCCTACATGTTTGTAGACTGCATGCATGTCTAGCATCTGTGGAGTTCCGAAGGTGTTAGATCCCCTGGATCTGCAATTATGGATAGTTGTGAACTATCATGTGGTGCTGGGAACTGAGCCCTGGTCTTCTCCAAGAGCAACAAGTGCTCCGAACTGCTGAGACATCTCTCCAACTCACAACTTAGCAATTTAGTGTCCCCACAGTATAAGTCCCTAGAAGTATAGAACTAGATCGAAGAATTTTACCAGGCTTTCCATACAGCCACACTTACCTGAAGGGTACACAGAACATATCTGACAGGTGTTAGAGGGCACCTCACAATCCAAAAGCACTTTCTACAAGTGTTTTTAATTGGAAACTCATGCCTACATTCCAGCCGGTGCTCAGGGACCTCTTTAAAGGGAGAGACACATACAGTGGAAGAATAGTCCTGGCTTCTTGGCTGGGCTCATGTGAAAGCTGCCATTATTTTCCCAGAAGCTGGGGCTGGAGAGATGGCTCACTGGTTAAGAGCACAATTCCCAGCACCCACATGGTGGCTCACAACCAGAAGAGGTCTGGTGACCTCTTCCGGTGTGTAGGCATGCAGGCAGAGTACTGTATAAATAATAAATAAATCTTTGAAAAAAACAAAACAACTTTTTCAGGAGCTGGCATCTTGAGACCACACAGAGCCTACTCCTGAGTAGTAGTATAATCTTGAGTCTGCAAAGTGGTTAGATTGCTTTGTGAAGAGCTTCTGTTCTTCCACGGCTGCTATTGCCTGCATGAAGCCTCTGGGAATGGACTGCTTAGAGTATCTTGTAGGTGATAGTTGGATGGAAGCTGCCAGTCTATAGGTCTGTGGTCTTCCTGGCTTTCCTCAGCCAAGTTTGAGAACTTGTGGTTGTAGCAGATCTTGTTTTATGACAGAGGACTGACTACTCCTTACTTTACCAATAATAGAGAACAAGGAAAAATACAGAATGTTTTTTTTGGGTACTTGGGAGCTGAGCCACTCTAAACAGCTTGTGATTTTGTGAATGGGTCCTTTGGCCTGGCAGTGAGCTGAGCTGCCTTTGTATCTTAGGCTTCATTAGCACAGTACACATAACCAGTAAGATGAGGACGAGGTGCTCCAGTGCTGGTGAGCTAGCTGCTGTACCGGTGTGGTAGATTGGCCAGGAGTCCAGCTTAGTGTGGCTAATATTCCCTGCATCTTGGCTGCAAAGGACAACAGCTTTAGCAGGGATGAAGCAGAGTGTGTGGTGTGGGCCAGAGGTAAGTGCGCTCAAAGTCATGAGGCCCTGAGATAGCCATGCATGGAAAGTCCAGAGCAGTGAGATTAGGACAATAGGTTCCAGAGTGGTAAGGTCTGATGCGAGTGAATCTTAAGGATTCTGAGGCACTGAGTTGTGAAAGGGTTAGTGGAATGCCAAAGAGAAGTCTGCACAGCCTGCTCCAACATTATAGGTTCACACCTGGAACTGATGTTTAAGTCATGGGGATCAGAGCATGTGCTGTTCTGAGCACGCAAGGCTGGGGGAGGGCTCCATGGATTGCAGGTATTACCCAGCTTTTCTCCTTGGCTGGTACTTGGTACCTCTCTTTTCCTCCCCACAATGCCTGGCCAGCAACCTGGGCTTCAGCTCACCTTGCTTTGATCTTGTTTTTCTATTGCCAGGTAACCCCTCTAAATTTCTCAGTGTCACAAGTGCCCAACATGCCTAGCTGTCCCCAGGCCTATTTGGAACTGCAGGCATTGTCTCCAAGTGAGCGGCGATGTGTTGAGACAGTAGTCAACATGGGCTACTCCTATGATTGTGTCCTGAGAGCCATCAAGAAGAAAGGAGAGAATATTGAGCAGGTGAGTGGCTGGTCTGCAAAGGTGTGGGTGGAGGAGCATGGTGGCCTCAAGTCAGGGCTGCGATCTGCTGGTCCTGCAACTCCAGCCTCCTTGCCTGTGGGTTTATGGGGACTTGGGGTATTATGGAGGAAGCCAGAAGTTCAGCAGTAGTACTTCTTTGAGCATTACTTAGAGACAGTGTGGGAGAAAGCCTGGGGGTGGGTGCTGGAGCTGTTCTGTCATCAGCCACTCCACTGTTCCTCAGAGAGGACAAAACTGAGCACATGGTTGGTTACATGTCTCAATCTGGATGCCTTTTTCTTTTGAGATAGAGTCTTGTGTAGCCCAGGCTGCTCAGAAGTGAGGTAGCTGAGGCTGACATTGGTCTCATGATCCTTCTGAGCCCTGGCATTATAGATGTAGTCTTCTACTTGTGGCTAACCTCCAGAAACTTTTGTCATGGCTTCGCAGGAAGTTCTGACTAGCATGGTAGTTTTCTGCCTTGGGGACATTTTGTGACGTGCTATCATTCTGCTCTGGCTCTTGAGCTGATACTTTTGAGAGTTGACTCAGCTGTGACAGCACTCCTTTGGGAAGTGGTTGCTCATTTCTAGAAGGGTTTACCAAGTAATTAGTGAGTATGCTCTGCTAGACATGCTCAAGGCGCAACTGTAGCCTTGTTCAGGATCTGATGACTGGGGAGGGACAGGGAGTTGACTTCACACAGATGGTCTGGAATTCTTAGCAAAGAGGAGTGACAGCAAGAGCTGAAACCACGTTTCTTTTCTTAGATTCTCGACTATCTCTTTGTACATGGACAGCTTTGTGAGAAGGGCTTTGACCCTCTTTTAGTGGAAGAGGCTCTTGAAATGCACCAGTGTTCAGAAGAAAAGGTAGGAACCTTTTATGTACTCACAGCAACAAAACTGTCTGCCCTGGTGTTCTCCTCAGGACAGGCACCCCTCCTCCCCTTGACCAGTGACTGCAGTCAAAGAATCTCCATGTCCAGACAAGACGAGTCCTGCATTTTTGGTATAGATGGAGTAGAGTAGAATCCCATTGATGAGAAGGGAAATTTGAGTTGTGCTAAAAAACCAGGTTTTTAGATGGCTGGGACCATTGCTAGTCTTTATGCCTTTCCTTCTATCTAGAATCTTTAGGGGTTCAACATTTTGTCTTTGTGAGAGTATTCATGTGGGCCATGGGACTCTTTAGGAGATCAGTGAGTTGGAGCTGCTTGCTAGGGAACCTTGGAGAGACCCCGAGACTCTGTCTGAAGGATACAGGTGTCGTCGCTGCCTGGCCCCCCTGCCCCCACCTTGCAGTGTGTGGCTGGATCCTTTTTTGGTTAAATTTTGTTCTCCTTTTTCTTATAGATGTTGGAGTTTCTTCAGCTAATGAGCAAATTTAAGGAAATGGGTTTTGAACTAAAAGACATTAAGGAAGTTTTGCTATTACACAACAATGACCAAGACAATGCTCTGGAAGACCTCATGGCCCGGGCTGCAGCCAGCTGAGACCAGACCCTGCCACGGCCCTGCCACAGCCCCACCAGCCCCAGGAGGCCCTGCATAGCTCCCTTGGGGGAAGAAAGAAATGCTTGCAGACTTTCTTTGGGGTTAGAAGGTCAGGTGTGGAGTGACACTTGTGAGTCTGTGAGCCCAGACTTGAGCTGTGAGGAAGGGAGGAAGATTTGGGCACACAATGCCCTATTCAATATTAAACATACCTGTACATTGAGAAGTGTCCTTCCCACCTTGGCCTTTCAGAAAGAAAACCTGGATCTTTCTGGGTCTCTGATGGTCTGGCTTCTGAGGAGTGGGAGGAGCAGGAGGGGCAGATGGCTGCTGCTTTGGGGCAAGGTGCTTTGCTCTCTGTGGCATAGTGGGCTCTGACCCAAATTGAATGCAGGTGAGAGGTTCTTCCGGGGTACCTTCCCCAAAGCCCTTAGTGCTACACTGGTTCTGGAATGTCTCTACGGTACAAAAGATGCACTTTTCCTCACGGGGCAAAGTCTGCCTCTTCTGCCAGGCAGTGAACCATGTGCCCCTGTTCAGACTGTTTATTATTATTATTATTTTGGCTTAGACCATAATCCTTTTTCTGCCGAGGGTATCGGAGCCCCTGTGCTAGGAAGCTCTTGTCAGTTTGAGTAATCCTTGGCCCCTTCCCAGCACATTGGTGAGAAAATAGGCCATGACTTGTCACTCAGCACTAACCCCCAGTTCTTGAATGGCCTCCTCCAGCCCTCCTTTAGGATGACACAATGAGTAACTTAGGCATAGAAACCAGTCTCTTTTGTTTTACTCCATTAAAGATCTAAATACAAAGGATGTAATACAGTCTTGAATCAAAAGTAATTTGCTAACTATTTTGATTCTTCAGAGAACTAATAATAAAAATCTAAAAGGATACGTCGCACTGGTTTTAACCTCTTTATTTTGAAAAATGGTTTGACTCAGGTAGGTGGCGCAGTCATTTCTGGCCTAGTATGGAACCTAGACTTTGCCCTACATTTCAGTACACTCTTCCCACTGTAGGACCTGGAAGCTGGCCATCCTGTCTTCTCTGGTTTGCAAATACAGATGCAAAGATCCCTTTAAACCTGATCTAGGGTAGGCTCTAGACCATGGCTGTACGCCTTCTTGCCATACAAGTGGAGAAGGAAGGGGCAAATAGGCCTCAACGTAGCCTTTAAAAGATGCAAAGTCCCTTTGCCTGTGAACACCACCTTGTGCAGTCACAGGCATGGCTGAAGTGCTTCCCCACTCGCAGGAGCATTGCTGTAGCTGACAACTCATCCCTAAAGCTTCTCTGGTCCTCAGCCTTAGAATCCCACATCCTTTTGGTGCTTTTTGGTTGGGGTTAGAGATGCCATACAGCCTTAAGCTAGGAACAGACTGCCCTCTGGTGGTCAGTTCAAGCACTACCTGTGGCTGGCTGTAGAGCCTTTCAGCCCTTTTGGATTTAGCCTTTGGCCTTTTAAATAGAGCCAGATCTAACTATACATAGCCCAGGCTGGCTTTGAACTCATTCTGCCTCAGCCCCCCAAGTGCTGGAATTACATGTGAGCAATGTCATACCTGACTTATCTTGACCTTTTAGCCATAGAAAGTTGTCCTTAAATTCATGTGGTAATGGCTTCGGGGCCCAGGCTGCGAATCATGAATCTCAGGTTACGTCAGGGGGACCTACAAAACTAGTGGACTCTTGGAGGCTCTTTGTTTTTCTTCGGGTTCCTTATGATAAAAAAGGTGGTACAGGAGATGGGAGGATAGTTAAGTGCAAGTACGAAAGTGTGGTTGTATTTCTAGCACCCATGCAGAGAGCCTGGAGTAGAGATGGTGAAGTAGAGACGGGGATCAACGGTGAGACACCTGTTTTCAGAAACATCAGAGAATGGCTGAGGGACCCTGAAAACACTTGGCCTATGTGGTAACACAGCCAGAACTCACTTGAAGGGTTGTGCACTTGCTGCTAGGTCAGAAGGTTCAGACACTGACTGTAGACTCAGTGCCAGGACACCCACAGCAAAGACCCTTGCGTGTTGCTGCCCAGCGGCACTGCTCTGGAAGATTTCAGCCAAGGCAACGGACTTGCCTGAGATGCTCCAGCTTGCCCAATCATTCAGAAGCACTGGGTGTGAGGAGTCACAGACAGGAGTTAGGATCTGTCACAAGAACCATGAGGCACAGTCCATGCTGTTTTAGCAGAAAGTGAAGAAAATGTACTGCCATCCACACCCTCAAAGCTGGATTGCAGGGAAGGAACTGTAAACATAAAGCCTACCTCACACCCAGTTACTCTTAAGATATCGAAACTTGTTCACTCTGTATTTCCCAAAACTAAATCTCCACTCTCTGCTGGGGAGGAGCCCACCTGAATACAGAAAGGCATAGATGGAAGCAATAAAGGCTGGTGTGGTCCCTAATCTCTGCTCTCAGGTTACCACTTAGGAACATGTACAGAGTCATTACACCAAGAATGTTCCTACAGACACAGCTTAGCAAAGCCCCAGACAGAAGGAGACACGAAGGTCTGCAGCCTGGTCCTTTTGTGCAGGTGTCCCTGTGGTGGAACTGACCTACGATGAGGGCTGTCCCCATGTACAGGGACCACCCAAGGCCATGGATGGCTAGGGTGAGACCAGGGGCCGACAGGGAGTGGCTGTTTGTAGGAAGGCCCTGGCAGAGCCTCTTTCAGCTCCAGAGAGCACAGCCGTGTCCATCCAGAGAGAGGCCTTCCTCTAAGATACCATGGGTCTGTCAGGGGATGCAGCAGGCTTGTGGCTGGTGAGGAAGAGCTGCAGCTGGCTTCTCAGGCTCTTGATGCAGTTGGACTTCAAAGCCATGATTTCATCCAGCTGGGTCACAAAATCTTCAAAATCCTGAAAAGAAACAAGACACCTGGAGTTTTGTTCTTTTGATGGACCTCTGCCAGATCATCTTTTCTAGTCTGTCCTTTTGTTTTTCAAGTTTTGTTTTGTTTAATGTATATGCATGTTTTGCTGACACACTACTGGTGTGCCTGGAATTTGGAAGAGGACGTCAGATCTCCTGGGATTGGAGTTCTAGAAGGTTGTGAGTAACCATGTGGATGCTGGGAACCAAACCTGGGTCTTCTACAAGAGCAACAAGTGTTCTTAACTACAGAGCCTTCTCTCTAGCCCCCTAGTACACCTTGAAGGAACATTTCAGAATCCAAGTCCCTCCTCCCAGGGGAAAACTTAACAAGTTTCTATGGCTTTGGGTGAGGACCTTCTCTGCATTGGAGACACCATATAAGTGGAAGCTGTACTCTGAAAAGGGGTGCTCACAATGCTTTGATTCTGCAGGCTGTAAGCAGCAGGATGGTTGCCACTACAGGAATCATACGAAGGGGCCTCAGCAAACCTTTAGGAAGTAGAATGCCCAAGGACAGTTTGGAAGCCATTTAGCTTGGGAGTGAGCAGTGTAGCACTATCTCCCAACTCTACCCAGACCCCCTGAGGGCCACAAGGCCTCAAGGGTTAGTGCACAACAGCAGAACTTTGATACACACACCATTGCAAACAGAAGACCATCGAATAAACCGTGATGAACTGTTGATAGCCCACATATCTGTCCAGTGCTACTTACATGAGAATCCATCTGGGTCATTAAGGTCTCCTCCTTGAAGTCCAGCTCAGCCATTTCATCCAGCTGTTCTTGGTGTGCACGGATGATCACCTGCCTGGGGACATGGGGAAGAAAGTGACCCTTCTGGTTTCCCATACTTGGGAGCTTTTGGAAGCTGAGCCTCATTCTCCAATTAGGAGCTGCCTCTTCCCAGTACAGTAATGCCAGCTGTCTGCTACGTGCTCCCTGTTCTGTTCTGAGAATTAGTCAAGGGGTTAGGGAGTACCCACAAGTCACAGGAAGCTGCCCCTGCCTCCCTAGCTGCTTCACAGGGGCTGCCCCGTTTCCCATGGCTTCCTTGAGAAAAAGCAGTGACAACTGGCATATTTGGTACAAGGCCTTACCTTCTTGTGGTGGGTCCAAGACCAAAGCAGGTCAGGGCTAAAAGCTGAATGATCGACTTGGTTGGACTCTACTGACTAGTATAGAGAGCACCACACAGAGGAGTAAGTGCCCACTAAAGAGGCAAGCTCCCTCTTGTGCAAGACCCTTTGTTATTATAGTAAACTGGAAAGGGCATGGGGTCTTAAGACAAAGTTCAACATACTGTGCCTGCTCCGGTGTGAGTAGACAAAGTGAGCCCGAGGCCTTGAGAGAACAGCTGGAGACAAAAGGAGAGTCTGAGTCTAAGCACCCGGAGATTGGCCTGCTCTTGAGCCATGGGACGTCCTCACTGTAACAGGGCTTGATGGAGTCTGTGGTGGAAACAAGCTCCTGCCAACCAACCCCTGTAGGATGCTTTCTCTCCTGGGTCCAGGAATGGCCAACTCCAGCATGTATGATGGAGAAGGGCTTTCTTGGGAATGCCAAGGAGGCCCCCAGTTCAGTCTCTTCAGCATTGTCATCATATGGCTCACCACCCACGTGACTCTGGGCCAAGAGTGCATGTCTTCTGCTCTGGCAGGCCTCCCTATTGGGTGGTTTGTCAGGTGAATGCTGATGGATTGGTGACGGGGACAGAGCTGGAAGATCACCACTAGGCCGATTGTCAGGGGGAGATGAGGACAGCCACAGGCGTGCAGTTACTGAAGACACTGGCAAGGCAGCCTCTTGATTGTAAGATGACACTGTGTGTCCCACTGCGGGCCCTCCTATGATCTCAGCCATGAGACCACGGTTAGCTCTATCCTGCTCCAAGGAAGACGGGTCCTCAGGGTTGGGAGTCTCCAGGAGGGACATAGTGAGAGGAGCCATGAGTCCAGAAGCATTTGCAGAGTACCTATGTACGTGCTCTCTAGAGTCTTCTCGGAAAGGGGCACTGCTGCTCGCTGTTCCTGGAGTCTGAGTCACTCTGTCTTCACTGGCCTCTCTCAGTGGTGTGGAGATCCTGTCTCGTCGTGGAGACTCTGGGGATCCTGAAACTGCCATGTGGGATAATGGGAAAGAGAGCCCATTTTCTGGAGGTGGCAAGCTGCCCTCAGTCTGTCCAGGAACCTCGCTTCTGAAGCCCTCCAGTCTCATGTCAAAGGCTTGAGCTTCACCTGTTTCTTGGTGATGCACAAAATCTTCCTGTGCAGAGGAAGGTTTCTGGGCCCACTTGTCCTTGGGAGAAGGCCCTGTGGAGGCACAGTCTTTCTCCTGACTGCAGACTGAGCACACCACCCTTGGCGTGTGGCTTTGACTGAGTACACCTCTTCTGTGGCTGATGATGGGACCCTTGGAATACACCCAGCTGTCAGCTGACCTCTTCTCATCACCATCCATTTTAGAGCTGAAAAGCAAACATTGCCTTTCGGCCTCTTTTTCCTCAAGGCTGTGCTCCCTGTCCTGATGAAGGAAAAAGGAGTTCTTCTCCAAGTTGCTTTTCTGCTTCATGGTTGGCTGAGTGGAGACATGTGAAAATGAGTCCTCACTGAAATCACTGTCATCAAGATCCTCAGCCTGGGCTCCATGATGACTCTCAAGATTAGAGTGGAGTGGAGCACCAGTCTCGTTTTGGAGCCGACCTTCTGAGGGCCCCCTATGCTGGCATAAAAGCCTTTCCAGTGGTTGGTATTTTAGCTTCTGCTTGAGGAGGGGTGGCTGCTGGAACTGCTGGTGGTAAAATCGCAAATGTTCCTCCCTTTCCTTCTGCTGGGGAAAGGGATTTGTCCAGGCTTCAGGGGCAAGCCTGGCAGGTGCACCCACCTTGCTGTCCTGACTGGCTAAGTGGTGGCTGTTGCCAAGGAGCCGTGCTCGGGAGAGTAGCTGCTTCTGCACTGGCTGCACTGCCTGTACCTTCTTCCCTCTGGTGGGCAGCCTGGCATGCAACAGGCCTTCTCTTGGCCTGGAGGCCCTGCCCTCCCACCCAACAGCAATCTTGTTGCCAATGTGATTTTTCTCAGAGCACAAGGGTCCTGACTCTGCTTCCTTTTTGATCAAAAGGCCAGATCTCATGGCCCCTTTGCAAGGGCTAGCCTTCATGTCCCACTCTGGGGTGGGCCTTCCTCGGGAGCTACTCCATTTACCAGGGGTTTTAGGCCCAGAGGCGAAGGGGATGTTGGCAGCATGGCTGGCCAAAGGTTGGGCTTTAACTCTTGTAGGGCCTGGGACCGCAGTAAGTGACTGCTGAAGCCCCAGTTTAACTTTTTTTGGGGAGCACTTGTCCCCTGCCAGGGCACCAGGGAAGCTCTGAATTCGTTTTGGAGAAGAGTTTCCAGATGTCTGATTTTGACTGGCAGCTGAAGCACACTTGACACCTTTCTTTAGTTCCTTCACCCTATAAATAACCATTTAACATTAAGTCAGTATTTGTCTGTATCTAGGACTCCTTTCCTCTAGTTTCCAGGGAATCAAAAAACAACAAATACTCATTCTGAGCCTGCCCTGGGTCCTGAAAACAGGCCAACTCAGGAATTCTACTCTTCACCCACAGCCCCACAGAGTCCTGTTGTCCTGCAAACAACACCCTGAAAGGCTTCTCTGGGAAGGTGAACTGCGCAGTTCAGAAACCATCAGATTGTGCTAGTCCCACTAAAGCAAAGATGACACGAATTTTCAGAAGCCCCTAACCTAGCACTGCTGACACCCTATACTAGGTACAATTCTTCCTTATCGAGGTTCTGTGTATCGGAGTGTTAGTGACATCTGTGGCTTTTACCCACGAGATGCCAGTGGCACCTTTTCCCAGTCATGATAATCAAAACTGTTCTTCCTTCCTGGGGGCTGGAGAGATGGCTCAGAGGTTAAGAGCACTGGCTGCTTTTGCACAGGACCCACCAGGTTTGGTTCCCAGAAGCCATATTGTGGCTCACAAATCTCTGTAACTGCAGTTTCAGGGAATCTGATGCTTCTGTTCTACTTGCACCAGGCACATACATACATGCATACAGGTAGATCTCTGAGTTCAAAATATACATATAATGATCTGAAACATCATAAAATGATCTGAAACATTTAAAAAAATGTTCTGTAAGAGAACTAACTATAAGTAGAAATGGGAGTGACGCTGACAGATACCAAAGGCTCTTCAGAGAGAAGCCAGAGCAAGCAATTAATGGGTGCCAGCTTTAAGACCAGCAAGATGGCTCCGTGGGTTAAGGCACTTGCAGGCCAAGTGTGAAGATCTGAGTTTGGCCTGTGATTCATATGGTAGAGGACACTGACAGAAGTCCTCTGGCACCCACACATCCCCATACCCACTGTCCCTGAAAGTTTTCTTAAAGAGGTGCTTCCTCAGCCACCAACTTTTAATAAACCTTTGGAAAGCTCCTATCCTTCCCTATTCTTCTCTGGGTCACTATCTTTCTTGACATGTCCAGACTGGTCCTTTCTGGACCTACATGCTAAGGTGAGCAGAAAGCTCCCTGAGCCTACACTAGGTTAATACTACTGCCGGCATCTACCCCTGAAGGGTTACACGCATCCTTCTTCTGGCACACACACAAAAGGAGGGTTCATTAGGTCATAGTGTTCAAAATGCTAGTGTAGTAGCTCAAGAAGAACGGTGTGGAGTTCATTGTCAGATGACTATTTTTTGAGAGGGATGTGCACAAACACATGTGACCTGTTCACACAATCTGACAGCCTATTTTCTTTCTTCCAGACCTGGCTGGCCTTGAACTCAGAGATCTACCTGCCTCTGCCATCACTGCCTAGCACAACCTGACATCCTATAACCAACTTACCGGTCAGCATAGCGCAAGGTATTTAATGTATACTCCGTGGCAATATGACTTGGTGAGATGTTGGCGATCATGCAAGTTTTGGCATTGCCAATGAAAGAGTCCTTCAGGACCTGTCCAAACCAGGAAACAGGGCAATGAACAAAGGGTATATTGACTATTTAAGTGTCAAGATGCTGATCATAGCTTGCTCTATTAACAAAAAACATTTTACAAAAGAAGAAATACATTAGACTGGAGAGATGGCTCAGTGGTTAAGAGCACTGGCTGCAGGGAGGTAGAGGCAGGAGTTCAAGGCCAGCCTGGTCTACAAAGGGAGTCCAGGATAGCTACACAGAGAAACCTTGTTTTGAAAAACAAAGAGACAAACACACACACAAACAGAGCACTGGCTGCTCTGGAAGAGGACCTCGGTTCAGTTCCTAGCATCCATATGGTTGTTCACAACCATCTGTAACTCCTGAGGCCTTCTTCTGGTCCGTGTGGGGTGCAAACACACACATAAGACATACATATGAATTTAAAAAGGAAGAAGAAATACAACCAACCAATAAGCAAAGCAGACATATTCAGAGAAACAAACTGACAGGAAACCAGCATCTGTGGTGCTGAGGAGGTTGCTTAGGAGGAGAGAGAACTTGGCAAGCATGAGGACAGGAGTCAAACTCCTCCCTCATGTAAGAAACCAGGTACAGTCATGAGCACCTATAGCTTAGGGCTGCAGGAGAGTTGAGATGGCAGGGTGGGTGGAGCTTGTTGACACCAGCCTAGTTCCAAGTTCATGAACCCAATCGTGTTCCAAGGGGAAAAGGTGGACTGACAGGTCAGGATACCTGAGGTCTTCTTCTGGCCTGTGTGTACATGGATGAATATACGTACAATTCATGCTCATATACAACCCCTGCTCACATACCAATATGAAATAAAAAGTCTTAAGATGAAAAAAGAGCATTTTGTATATAAGACTAAGAAAGTCTAGTGACACTTTACCCAGTATGTGTTTGTCCGGAAGTGGGAACTTCCCTACACTCCTGTGATAGTTAACTTCAGTTGTCAACTCAAAGATGTTAAGGTATGTTTCACCTTCTACTATTCTTTTTCCAAGGAGAGAGAAGGTCTTACTATGTAGCCCTGGCTCGCCTGAAACTCACTACCAGGCTGGCCTTGAACTCACAGAAACCTGCCTGCCTCTGCCTTCCGAATGCTGGGATTAGAGGTGTGTGCTACTATATCTGGCTGTTCTTTACATTATGTGTATTATAGAGATTATTCTTTTTAAAAGTAGAAGCATACTTTCTGGGAATGAGAACTGATATAAAAACAAAAAGTTAGGGCTGGAGAGATGGCTTAGTGGTTAAGAGCACTGGCTACTCTTCCAAAGGTCCCAAGTTCAATTCCCAGCAACCACATGGTGGCTCACAACCAACTATAATGAGACCGGTGCCCTCTTCTGGTGTGCAGGTGTACATGCAGGCAGAACACTGTATTAAAAATAAATCTTTAAAAACAAAAAGTTAAATGGCAGAGTCAGGAATGGCATACTGGGTCTCTGGTTGAAATCTGGTTTGAATAAAAACACTCAGGGGTTGGAAAGATGGTTCAGTGATCAAGAATGCTTCTAGCTCTTCCAAAGGATCCAAGTTCAGTTCGCAGCACCCAATCAGGTGGTTCATAACCATCTGAAACTCCTGCTACAGGGGATCAAATGACCTCTTTTAGACTCTGAGCACCTGCACTCATTCCAGTACTTCCCACATACACACACACATATACACACACCTGAGAAGTTATATTCAAGCTGGGCAAAGTAGTGCACGCCTGTGATCCCAGCACTCTTGGAAGCAGAGGCAGGCAGATGGCTGTGAGTTCGAGGCCAGCCTCGTCTACCAAGCAAGTCCAAGTCCAAGACAGAGAAATCCTGTTTCCAAAAACCAACCCCCACCAAAAAAAAAAAAAAAAAAAAAAAAAAAAGTTATATTTAGTCCAGAGATCACTAATTTTGGAGCTACAGAACCTATCCAAGTTCTTCCTTTCTGGCTTCTGTATGTACAGGACCCAGTGTTGAAAGAAGCTCAAGACAACACAACTACTTCCACGTCTCTTTCTTCCTAGGCAAATCTCTCTCTAGGCTGCTCCTCTGTAGCCAATAAAGAGCCTGTCATTTCCCAGACAACAAAAGAAAAATGTTCCTATATTTCTATTATTTAGAGTAAACATGATGGCCTGGTAATGCAGGCCTATAATCCTAGATGCTCAGAAGACTGAGGCAGGAAGATAACAAGTTCAAGACTTGTCTATATCACCAAGTGAATTCAAGGTCAAGCTGTACAATTTAAGGAGACTTTTATCTCAAAACAAAAATTTAACCTGGGGATCTATATCCCTGGGATATAGCACTTGCCTAGAATGTGAGGGCTCAGGCCTCAGCCCCTGCCCCCAGAACAGTTACAGCTAATATTTGTGCAGTTTTTTTACAGAGTGTTTTGCTGTTGTTGAGGTGGGTGAGGTCTTGATCGGTTGTCCAGGTTGGACTCAAAATTCCTGGCTAAAGCAATCCTCCTGTCTTTCTCTCCTGAGTAGCTGGGCTGACAGACATAAACAAGCATGTCAACTTCCTCCCCACACCCTACACTGCACAGTTTTAAAACTATAGAGATAGTAAATGGCCAACTCATATATGCTCCTATAACATAGAAAGTTAATTTGTAGTTGCACTCATAGTTGTATACTATATTTACCTTTAAGCTTTCTTTGTGTAGATAAAAATGCTTTAAACAACACAGGCAACAGAGCATTTTTTTTTTTTTTTTACATGTAACACAGTCCTGTCATCTTTTCCAATCTCATGTGTAGAGAGCCTGAAGTCATTACCTGTTTGAACAGAAGCTCTAAGTTCTATAGCCATGACTGCACCAAGCATGGTTCTTCCCCCAGTGTTGAGGATTAAATGTAGGATGTGGTACCTATCAGGCAAGTGATCTATGATCCTGGCCTATTCCCCGTTGTTTAGACAGACAGGATCTCATTGTGTTGCTCAGGCTGATTTCCAATGTATGGGCTCAAGCAATCCTTCTGCCTCAGCCTAAGCTGCTGGGAACAGACACACACCAGCATATCCAACAATTTATGCTTTTAGAGATGTAGTCTTGCTATGTTATCCAGGCTAGTCTTGAATTCCTGGTTCATGTGATCCTCCTGCCTCAGCTTCCTGAGTAGCTGGACTTCAGGAAAATCTACCACATCCACAGTAAGAATCTTTACACTGGAAGAATACAGAAAGGTGGTGTCCTAGTTAGTTTTGTCAACTGATACAGCTTAATCTGAGAAGGGAGTCTTAATTAAGGGTTTCTCAGATCAGATTTGCCTGTGGATGATTGTCTTGTTAACGGAGGTAGGAGAGACCCAGATACATGAGCTGTACCAGTCCCTGTCAGGTGGTCCTCGGCTGGATAGGAAAACTTGCCTAAGCAGCTGGGGAGAGCCAGTAAGTAGCATTACTTCATGATTCCTGCTTCAAGTTCTTGGATGCCATTACTAAGAGCTCGGAGTGCTGGTTGGTGTATTTTATCACAGCAACAGAACGAAACTAGAACGGGTGGTCACAAGAAGAACATGGCTACCTTCTTAGGAGTGTAGCTGCCCTGGTGGTACAGATATCTCTGCCTGAGTACACTGACAGCTCCTGGAGGGAAAATGATACCTAAATTCTTTTCTCCCCAGTATATTTTAGCATCATGCCTTGTTAGTAGTGGATACTTGACTAAATTAACAACTTAATGGAGGAAGAAACAATGAATGAACCAAAACAAATTCAAGGCTTTTGTTTAACTTTACCTGAGTCAGTTTGCTCTGCCTGAAAGGTGTATGGGTATGTTCCTGGTCCAATGCTCGGATACATTCTTTCAGCTGTAAAGTGGGAGAGTACAAGACCCATCAATATGACACTAAAGTGAGGGACAGTCAGATGCTACATTTATAAGTTTCTTTTTCTTTAAAGTTTATTTTTTATTTAATGTATATGAGTATTTTGCCTATACACATGCTGATGTGGGACCAGAAAGCTCTGCAACTGGGGTGGGGAGTAATCCAGAGCAAGAGTGAGGCTGAGGTGTCCAAACCCCAAAATTCTGATCCTGATATCAGCAAGAGTAGGACTGCTTTCTCATGTCTTGGGGCATGAGGCCTGTAGGATTCCCACCTCTGCTATCCTTGAGGGAGTCATATAACCACCCTTGAGGTAGTCTGGAAGTTTGGCCAGATTTCAGGCTAAACTTCCCCTCTCCTTATAAAGACATGTCCAGCAAGCACTTGGAATTCCTCTTCATGCAAATGAAGCATTCCCAGCACCTCGGCCACAGCCAACAATGTACACTCACCCTGAAGACCCCTACCCACTCCCCAAGGTTTATATAGCCCTTATTCACCTTCAATAAAGAATGTTTCACTGAAAACCATCACTAGAGAAGGCTGTGTTTCTCTCACTCAATGCTGACTGGGATCCTGCTTCACCCACCTGCCCAGCTAAACTTCATTCCCTCAGTCCAGCCTGGTATGCAATGGTGCCTGGTCACCCCAAGGGGAAAAGTAGACCTGGGGCAGCTGGTACACTGTGTGTGTCTGTCTAGTGCCCACACAGGCCAGAAGAAGGCATTGGATCTCCTGGGACTGGAGGTGTAGAGCCACCATATGGATGTTGGGAATGGAACCCTAATCCTCTGGAAGAGCAGCCAGTACTCCTAACTTGTGAGCTGTCTCTCCAGGCCTGGAAGGTTAGTTTTCTTAATTAAAGCAGAATCAGCAGTTAGGAGTACTGGCTGCTCTTCCAGAGGAAGAGTGTGGTTCCTAACACCCCAATGGGCAGCTCATAACCACTTGTTAGCTCCATGCAGCTTCAAGGGATCTAATACCCTCTTCTGGCCTCTGCAAACACCCAAACACATGTGGCATACAGACATCACATACAGACAAAGAAAGGAAAACAAAGCTCAAGATTGTGTAAAATCAAACAGACAAACAAAAGACTTAGGCAAGAATGGAAAAACAGCATCCTGCCTTATCTTGCTAAGGATCCAAAACTTAGAGGCTGTGATCCTACATCAGCTCTGAGTCCGTAATGAGACTGATGAACCCAGGAAGCCACCCTCTGGTCCTGGGTGCAAGCTTATGCACTGGCGATCCTAGCTTACCTGTCTTCCTTTCTTCACAACTACAGATATGCTCAGGTAGACAACACACCTAAGCTACTTCTCTCTCCCCCTCATCCATGTATATGGGTGTAATGATAGGTATATAAGTATAATTCAAGATTTGGATATAAACTGATTGGAGGAGGAGAAATCAGAGCACCAGAGGCAGAAAGCTACTATCCTGTTAGTTTTTTGTCAACTTGACATTATAATCTAGCTCCAACAGCTAAAACCGTTTGGGAAGAAGAACCTCAATTGAGAAAATGCCTCCAACAGATTGGCCTATACACAAGTCTGTAGGGTACTTTCCTGATTAATGATTGATGTGGGAGAGCCCAGAGCACTACGGGTAGTGCCATGCCAGGCAGGCAGTCCTGGGTTGTGTAAGAAAGGGAGCAAGCCAGTAAGCAATGCTCCTCTATGGTACTGCCTCCAGGTTCCTGTCTGAGGACTTCCTGTCTTGGATTCCCTGATGCTGGACTAATGAATGGACTAATGTAGGCCTAATGAATCTGCCTCCCCAAGTTAGCAACAGAAACCCAGGACAAGCACTGAGCAATTAACTCACTCACATCTTCCTTTTCTCTAATGCTACATGATGCGCATGTGTGGTGCGCATGTGAAGGTCAGAGAACAACTCTGTGGAGCCAATTCCTTCTCTCACCATTACATGGCTTCCACAGATTGAGCACATGTCAGGCTTTTGTGGCATGTGAGGGTCATCTCATAGTCCTTACCATTTCATTTTAAAGAGGAGAAATTGTGGCAAGGGAGTGTTGTCTGGTCCTGGGTGGGCTGTACTTTATGGCTGTCAGAGTCACACACTTTTGGTCAGAGGCCGTGAGTACTTGACCAGTTCACTGAAGCCATCTGCACCTGCAACCTCACCTATAAGGGTCAGAGTACTTACTCAACTTGCCATGCAGAACTGAGAACACCAATCTGACTGGCAATACAGAAACACTAAAAGTACACTGAATGGCTGGTGGAATAAATGATACTTACATTATTTTATTTAACCTATTATATACTATCCCAAGTATTACTTTGGGATACAACAAATATGAAAATATATTACTGAAACATTTTATATGCTTTTCTGATACAAATTTTCAAAATCCTGTATTTTACTTTAGAGACATCTTAAGTAAGACTAGTTACACTGGGGCCCATATATACATATAGTAATAATAAAATAAAGTAATCCATCTTATGGAAAGGTTGGGACTGCTTACACTCTTAAGTTTCTGCATTTATTTATTTATTCATTCATTCATTCATTCATTCATTCATTCATTCATTCATTCTGTGTGTATGTGTATGTGGTGACATGTGTGTCGCGGTGCAGTGTGGAGTCAGAGGACAGCTTGTATGAGTTGCTATCTTTCCACTACACGGGTCTCAGAGATCAGACCCTGGATGTCAGGCGAGGCAGCAAGTACCTTTACTAGCTAAGCGTGTCTGGCCTTGGCTAAGTTTTTCAATTGTTGATAACTGTTGAAGCTGAGTGACAAGTATCTGAGAGATATACTACTTACTTTCTATATTTGTATCCTTGAAGTACAGTTTAAATTTTAGGGAGTAGGAAAAAAGCTTTCTCAGCCATTTAGCAACTGCAGAAACATTTCTCTTTCTAACTGGTAGAGATTGGGGAAAAGAGGCGGGGGAAGAAGAGCAGCCCCGTGCCGTGGAGAGGCTTCCGGGACCTGCAGTCTAGCTCAGGGCTTCCACTGTCAAATGAGAATGTGTGTGCTGCCCTTCTGATTCTACCCAGCCTTACTGACTGGCTTCATGTTAGGGCAGAATCTCTCAAAATAGGGACCTTTAGATCAGAGCAACTCACAGCCAAAAGACTCTGGTTTATTTCTGCGCCTTCCATCTTGGTCTGTCGGTCTGAGTCCCTGGCATCTGCTGCTCTCTCACTCCCAGCCAAATCAATGAAAGAGATCCTAGAAAAAAGACACAGCAGAAATGACTTCTTTGGGGCTTTGGTTTATTTCCCTATTAGCTGCACTTTGTAACCTCAGAAAGAAATGGAGCACAGCTCATCCTCAGGGAAGAAAAGACATTATTGTTAGCTTTCCAAAAATCACAAGGTCCTCATGTGTCAGCTGGAGCTGTGACTGTTCACTTAGACACTTCAATTGGCTTTACACATTTCCCCACAAGCATTTCCCCACAAGGCCTGGTGACTATAATGCAGATCAGTTAGATAATTAAACATAAAGTTTTATTGGCTGTTTTCTAACAAGAAAGGATGAAAAAGAAGAGAATGACTCATTACTCAGAGGTGGGACAGGCTCATCCATCAGCATGGCAGAGTTTGCTACAATAGCACCAGGGAAGCAATGAATGCATCCAATTGTCTTATGTCTTCTTTCAAGAAGAATGGGTTCCACCACCCCCATTTATGACCTGCATGTTCTCCAAGATGCATTCCTTGCAGTTTCTCTGCTGATACTGTATTTCACGTTAGAAGCAATCAATGTCTGTTTTAAAACCTTCGGGTTGACCAACAATAGGTCATTACTTCATGATTAATCAGTTGATGGCACTTTATACAATGACTTATTTCAGGGCTAACAGTACTACTCTATACCCTGCAATGAAGACAGGGTGTCCTGTGTTGAGCATGTATATTTCAAAGTCACATATGGAAAGGTTATAGATAATCCAATTCTCCACATAGGTGCAGCTCACCTGCCAAATGTGCTCTTGGCTGAATCTTTGATCTGGATTTGTATGATAGCATGGGAGCGGGAGGAGTCTGCGTTGACGCCAGTGGCCCCAGTGCTGCGCTCCTTACTGCCCTTTAAGATCACCTGAAAATAAAACCCAAAGCATGACTTCCTCTGGGAGAAAACAAAGTCCTGTGGCTCTGGAAAGTTAGCAAGCAGCAGAGACCAGGCATATAATTTTGTTAACATACTGCAGTTTTTGATGTCCAGGTGGAAGGCTGCCCAGACATTAAATCAAACAGAGTAAGTAGCAACAGCAGTGAGAACAATGTAGAATACTAATCTGGTGGGAGAACACTCAATGGCTTAAAAGCTAATTTACTTCTAAATCTTATGCACTCTTTTTAATATCTTTGATGGATCTAACTGTTGGTATAATGTTCTTTTGGAATATATACACCTTACCCTTGTTCATTCAAATGCTGATTTCTGTCCCCCAACTCTCTGGTTTCAAACCGGATATTGCATTGTGATACTTATTCTAAGCATCCTGTCTCAACTTTGTGTGAACAGGCCAAAATAAAGCAACTAGCCACAATGTTGAGCAATGGGAGGAGCCAGAGGGCAGGAAATGAGTGGGAGTAGAGAGAGGAGAGCTGAGTGGGAGAAGATCTTGGAACTACGTGGAGAATGAACCAGACCTAAGATTTCACAAAAAGCAAGTATAATGGGTAAAATCTAAATGTTAGGGAACTATGAGGGCTTGGAGGTTTAAGAGAGAGTAACTATTGTCCAGCATTGTGTTCTAGGTTAACTAACCCAGTCTCTGTGTGGTGATTTGGTTATACAGCTGTTTAGGATTAACAGAAGATATATCAATAGTAAATATTAATTGTCACATACAACATAAAAACTCTAAAACTAACTGAGAGATAAAAGAAAAATGTCTCTAGCCAGAACTCCAACAATACTTGGCCAATAAACCCTTGGCTGTAATATCCTACAACACTCAATGGCTTAAGAGCTAATTTACTTCTAAATCTTATGCATTCTTTTTAATAACTTTGATGGATCTAACCTAACTAAGATCCCCAGGGAAAAACTTGGCTCTCAAGCAAGGTCTCACAGCATTCATCTATCTTAGTAACTAAAGCAAAGAACAGAAATATACCTCACAGAATGGCTGATCACATCCACCTGCTCTACCAGGATGCAGGCAGGAAGGAGGCCAAGCCTGACATTCAGGAACAAGGAAGTGAGTTATGTCATGTGCCTAAAAAGTCATTGACTCCAGTACTCACTTAGCCCTGTCTGGGAGTCAAGACTAACTGGGATCTTTTGGCCACAAAGGAGGGGATGAGGAGAGAAGCCTCAGACCCCAGCCTCCAAGCAATGAAAATATGATCATAAATGAGCATATCACTCCCCAGTCTCCCAGAATTTCTATTTGTGTCATATAGAACACAGTCATGTTTTCCAAATTAAGAGACCAAATATAGAACCAAACTCAACAACAAGCTTCAAAATATCTTACCAAGCGGGGGCAGGTGTTTTATTTTCACAAACCAACCAACTAACCAACCAACCAACCAACCAACCAACCAACCAACCAACCAAACTAAAAATAAGTTCTGGCCAGGTGTGGTGGCACACACCTTTAATCCCAGCACTCTGGAGGCAGAGGCAGGTGGATCTCTGTGAGTTGAAGGCCAGGCTGGTCTACAGAAGTCCATGACAGCCAGGACTACACGGAGAAACCCTGTCTCAACAAACAAACAAACAAATGAAAAGTTCTGGGCTGAGAATGTAGCTCAGTTGGTAGGGTTGGTAGGGTGCCTGTCCAGCATGTACAAAACCCTGGATTTGATCTCCAGTGCTGCACAGCTGTAGACCTATTCCTTCAGAGGTGAAGGTTGGAGGATCAGGCAGTTTAAGGTCATTCTAGGCTACAAAGCAAACTTAATCAAACACAGCCTGTTATACTTGAGGCCCTGTCTCAAAAACAAAACCAAAAAGAATTTCTCACTCTTAGCCCCAGCACTCAGGAGGCAGAGGCAGTAAGATTTCTATGAGTTCAAGGCCAGCCTGGTCTACAGAGTGAGTGTCAGAGTAGTCAGGGCTACATAGTGAGACCATGCTTCAAAAAAACAAAACAAAACAAAAAACAAAAAACAAACAAACAAACAAAACACACACACACACACACACACACACACACACACACACACACACACCCCAAAACAGTTTGGAGATGAATGAGACAAAAGTCCTAGAATGCTATAAGCAGAGAATTTACAACATGATTTTGGTGGAGTTCAGAGGAACAGAATGCGGACAGGAATGTAGACAGTAAAGACTGTCGCACAATTTCAGATGAGAACAAAGACACTGCTGGGATAGGACTAGAGCCATTCATGTTACATTTTGGTAAAGAATTTGCCTATATTTTCCCATGAACTAGGTGGTTGTGCACTGCCATGTGGGTGCTGAGAACTGAGCCTGGGCCTGTGCAAGAGCAGCCACTGTCCTTAACACTGAACTGACTGCTTCCTTTTGAATTTATAGAAACTTAAAGAGTTTATCTTTAGTCTCAGGAGAGAGAATACATTTTGGTTCTGGAATGAACTGTTAAGATATGGGGGGTCCAAACTAGGCATGGTGGTACACACCTGTAATCCCAGAATTCTGGGAGGCTGAGGCAGGTAGGTCTTTGTGAATTTGAGGCCAGGCTGGTCTACAAAGTGAGGTTAGGACAGTCAGCGCTACACAGAGAAACCCTGTCTCAAAAAACAAAACAAAGGGTAAATTTTAAAAACAGCCACAAGCTGTTGGAAGTAGAGCAGAATGCTATGATTTGAATAGGAAATGTTCCTAAGAGCTCCCCAGGTGGTGGAGTTATTTTGGGAGTTTATAAGGACTTCGGGAGGCGGAGCCAGATCAATGGGAGTGCGTCCTTTGAGTCTATTATTCCTGGCCACTTTCTGCCTCTGCTTCTTAGGTTCAATCTGCAGTACCGGGAGAGGGATGGTACTCAAGAGGTGACTCAAGAGGCAGAAATAGGAGGATTGCCAAAAGGAAGAACAACCTGGTCAGCATGTTGGGTTCCAGGTCAGCTGAGGCTATATAGTAAGAACTGTTTAAAACCACAGAGAACTAAAAAGATATGCATGTAGAGCACACAGTATGATCAGGACATGGTAAGTTCACGGCAGCAACTTCTCAAAGACAGAAAGAACTGACACCTGTACGTAAATTTCCAAAACTGTTGTTTTCATCAGAATTTCATGGGAATATAGTTCTATAAACTATCAGAGATGCCACAGGTTCCTCAGTACACATCTAAAAGAGAAGGAGGAAACAAAGAATGGGAATGGGAAGGAGAGTCAGAGCCCCCAGCTTTATCTGGTCAAGAGACTGTAACACTGAGCTTCCTGCCAAATGCCAAAGCACCACAGCACTTGAATGGTTAGTGCTGTGCAGGCGACCCTTGCCCTGATACGCAGGGGCACTGTGCACAGACAGTCCCTAAGAGGTCCTGCTGCTCTTGAAGACAAGCAAGTGTGGTTCTGAGCTGCCATACCAAGGGAGAGGTGGGGCTACAACTCCTGTAACTGCATCTTCAGGGTACATGACACTTTCTGGCCTCTGGGAGCATCTGCACACACTGGCACACATTCACACAAATACAAACATATGCACAAATAAAAATAAATTTAAAAAGCTACTAGAATTATGTGAGACAGGAAATCTCTAATGGACTGACCAACAAGAAAAACAAAACACAAAAAAACTTGAGTGCACATGTTGCTCTTGCCAAGTCTCAGTTCCATCACATACACACATGGAGGCAAACACTGACACCAAATAGATAAATAAATATAAACAAAGTTTTTAAAGAATAATAATAAAAAAAATCTTGAACCCAAATCTGAGTGATAGTTCTTCATAAATGCAGAACACTGGTGAGTACAGGCAGTCAGTCAGTCATGGATTTTCAAGAAAGGAAAATCCTGTTGGAAAAATGAAGCTGCCAGTTGTGCAGGCAACGTCAGGTGGCCATGCTGGAGTGCCCCTCAAGGTTATCTGAGGGGAACCCTTGAAGATGACACTTTAGCAAACACAGAGGTGAAGCCTGAGTAGGGATCAAAGCTGACATCTGGGAGAGTGTAGGTGTGACACTGGAGTAGGCAAGTGTTACTGTTGCAAGTCAATAAATGTCCATGTCAGATGTCCCTAAGTTATATTAACTTTCCACCTTCATCTATGATGTCTTCCTGATTGTAGTTTTGTAGACTTTCGGGGTCAATCAATGGCAATAGAGCAATAACAAGCTAAGAAATGAAAACCTTCAGACTTTTTAAGCAACGATACTTTAGGATAAGACAATGCCATGTACTTTCCCAAGAGAGGGTCACATGACTCAGACTGGCCCTTACGCTCAGTTGCGGGACTGGTAGTGTGGTGCAGTGGTAGAGCGCTTGCTTAGCAGGTGGGAGGCCGCGGTTTTGATCTGCAGCACACAGAGAAAGCAGCGCAGCTGGGACTCCAAGGAAAAGGGTGTTTGTTTCTTTTCCATCAGAGACTCCCAAGGACTAGGGTGACTAGTCTAGAAGACTACTGTGAATCCATGGGTAAGAAACATTTTCTTCCTGACTCCATAGCAGAGGGCACTCTGGGCAGCTTGAGAATATCCAGAGTCCCTACCCCTTGTGTTCTGAACCTGGCTTTGTAATCACCAGAAAGGGGCTCTTAGGTGATTTGCTACAATAGCCACACAGATCTGTCTTCAGATTTTAGATCCCAAGACACTTGGCACACAAATGTGTAATCTCGACCCTCATAGATAAGCCAAACCTACTTATTTTTTCTTGGGAAAAACAAATTCAGAAACTAAGATATTACTAATCATTAGTCACCTTACCATTTCACACAATATATTTTTAAGATTTATTTTTATTTTTAATTATATATATCTGTGTGGGTATGTACACCTGAGAACAGGTGCCCAGGGAGGCCCAAGGTGTTGGAGTTACAAGTAGTTGTGAGCTGTTCAATGGGGGTGCTGGGAACCAAATTCAGGTCTTCTACAAGAACAGTAAATGCTCTTTTATTGCAAGGGTGGAGGTTGAGACAGGATTTCTCTGTAGCTTTGGCTGTCCTAAACTCTCTTTGTAGACACCAGGCTGGCCTTGAACTCACAGTGATCTGCCTGCCTCTGCCTCCACAAGTGCTGGGCAGGTAAATGCTCTTAATTGTTGAACCATCTCTCTAGCTCCAATACAACCAAGTGTCCCATCAACTCCCCTCTCTTTCTTTCACTATATAGTTTAGATTAGCCTGGCTTCTGATCCTCCTGTCTCAGCTTCTAGGATTACAGGCATGAGCTACCATTACTGGCAATTCTTAATACTTGTTACTTAATAATACTTTCTTAGGAAATAATACTTAGGGGCTAGAGAGATGGCTCAGACATTAAGACCACTGGCTGCTCTTCCAAAGGTCCTGAGTTCAATTCCCAGCAACCACATGGTGGCTCATAGCCATCTATAATGAGATCTGGTGCCCTCTTCCGGACTGCAGGCAGAACACTGTGTATATAATAAATATATAAATCTTTTAAAAATACTTAATACTTTCTTCAGAAAAACGGGTCCCTAATAATTTATTATAAATAGTGAAATACAGTGGAAACGGTGTTGTTTCTGGCCCTTGGCTCTCTGACCACCAGTTTCCAACTGTAGCTTTAGTTTGCTCATCTGGAAGATGAGCTTTATAATATGTATCTTAATTAAATCACAAGGTATTTGGAAAAACAACAACAACAACAACCCACCAGCCAAATATTTGTTAGCAAGTTAAGTGTTCAGTAGACACTTGTAGTTAACATTAAAATATAATGAAAGCTAGGAGTGGTGGTAAACGTATTTAACCTCAGCACTTAGCAGACAGGGGAAGGCAGATATAAGGCCAGCCTGGTCTACATAGAGAACTCCAAAACAAACAAACAAACAAACAAACAAAAACAAACAGCTACGTGTGATGGTTTATTCCTATACTCATTTCTCGAGGTTGAGACATGAGGATAAGAAGTTCAAGGCCATACTTGTTCCAAGCCAGCCTGAGCTACAGAAGACCTTATCTTAAAAAGAAAAGAAAAGAAAAGAAAAGAAAAAAAAAGGTTAAGATATTTTTTAAGTGAAGAAAAGGGTCTGTAGTGGTCTAATGTAAAGCCAGGGTTGAGCTGGAATAGCTTAGAGCTCAGCAGCAGAGTGCTGGCAGAGTGGGTAAGCTCTGGGTCTGACCCCTAGCATCGACCGGATCCCTCAAAAAAGCCAGGCTAAGGATCATTAGAAGAAGGTTCACTAGAAAGATGTTTATACATAAATCAATAAATGACTGCTGAGCAAGCAAAAAACAACCACTGATTAACAGTGGATATCACAGAGTGTTTAGTAAAAAGGCTCTTATTTTTATATATTTCTGTAATGCTTAACAATGAGCAAATATTACATTTGTTATAACCAACGGCTATAACATTTTAACCAAGAAGCAGACTTCCAAAATTCTTTTGGAGGCATACACAAAAACTAATAGGATGAGCTGCCTTGGGACAAAAGGGAATGGAAAGAGAATTTCCCATTTCTTTGAATTTTGAGAGCATGTGAAATAATTGCTTATTAAAATTTTATTTAAAATAAGAACCCTTGCCTTTAGCAGCTTTCTCCTAAGCACACTGCCACAGAAAGTATAATAGCAGCCTATGAAGCTTTGATACTCTTTGGACCCAAGAGCATCTTTGCCATGAATTCATTTCTGCCACATGCCCTACCTACCACTCTACGGCACTGTGGAGAAAAAAGCTATTTTCGTAAGCTGCCTCACACTTCACGTATGTGAAGCAGGGCCTTGCCCTCTGCTTCCATTTCAACCACCCCACTTGCTAGGAAAAAAAATGAAATGTTTTTCCTGGGCTGCAGCTGCTCTGGGGTATAAGGGGGGGGGAGGAATTACCTGTAAGAGGAGCTCCACACTATCCACTTGGAGCTCTCGAAGGCCAGCTATCTGCACCACATGCTTGCTATCTTCTCTTGCGAAGAGGCTGCAGATGCAAAAAATGTTGTTGGTTTGACACTGGGTGTATCTTACCTTCCCCAAACAGTCTATTCCCATTACATAGTGGTTTTGCCATTTGGATGGGATGGATATGCTTCCCCTCCCCAAACCTACCTCCCTAATGCCAGCTTCAGACTACCGAGGTGGTCCTTCCACATAAATTAGTATCTTTGACTAAAACCAAAGTAATGAGCAGAAAACTCCAATGTATTCCGATCCGTGCATGGCGCAACCCTGGCTAATGACTAGGGGAGTGGTGGACATGGGATCTTTGCTGTCTGGTCACACTCAAGTTGTGGTCTCTTGAAGAGAGAGCATGAGGGCCTGGGAGCAGCCGCCGCCACTTTGTATCTACAAAGAACTAGCTTCAGTATGGAACCAACAAATACAGGTAGCACAGGGAGACGCATCATTACTTCTGAGTGATGGTGCAGAATATTTCTGAAGCCTTCCAATTTATCTGAGCCAATGATTTCCCTAAGTAAGGACAGTAGGAGTGGTTTTTTTTTTTTTTTTAATTTGTAAGAGAAAAAGTCCTGATATGTATTTTTGTTTTGAGACAGGATTTCACTATGTAACTCAAGTTGGTCTCCAACTTGTGATCCTCTTGCCTTAGCCTCCTATGTTCTTAGAGTACAGCCATGTGCCAATATGTTTCACTCTGGTACCTAGACCTGCAAAGAGGGTGACAAATAATTACAGACTGCCATTAACATTAAATCAGGTGTACCAAAAACAGGTATTAAATCTGGTCAATATTCTAAAATTATTTTTACCCTTTAGTAAGATACTAATTAAAGAATGAAATTTTAAAAAATATTTATGTATTTATTTTATGTCTATGAGTGCCCTATCTGCATGTACACTTGCACACCAGAAAAGAGCATCAGATTTCATTGTAGATGGTTGTGAGCCACCATGTGGTTGCTGTGAACTGAACTCAGCATCTCTGGAAAAGCAGACAGCACTCTTAACCACTGAACCATCTCTCTAACCCCTGAAATTCTATTCTGTAGTACAGAGAAAGAGAGATATTGAAAGAGACTGAATTACTTTCTCAAAATAAAAAGGGGTGGAGGGGTGTGAAGCAGATGTATCTCTATGCATTCAAGGCCTGCTTGGTCTACATAGTGTGTTCTAGGCCAGCCAGGGATACATAGTGAGACACTGCCTGAAAAACAAAAACAAACTTTTTTTTTTCTCAATTTAAGCTTCATTGCAAATTTCCAAACTTTACAGAATAATAAGAGGAAAACTGTCTTGCCAATGTCCATGACCTTTCAGAAAACAGTTACCAAAATACTCACGCTTCTGAAATAAAAGAAGAAGCCAATCCACCTCATATCACTCCCCAACATGCCACCTGGACTTGGGCTCTGAGCTGTTCATCACAGAAAGGTTCAAGAATTACATTTCTGGAGCTGAAGAAATGGCTCAGTGGTTAAGAGCACGAACTGTTTTTGCAGGGGACTCAGGTTCAGTTCCAAGCACCCATGTCAGACAGTCCATAACTGCCTGTAACTCCAGTTCTAGGGTATCTGATTCCCTCTAGCCTCTGTGGATATCTGCATACACAGTGCATATAATCTCACACAGGTATACACACAAACATACATAAAAGTAACCTTTCTGGAGATGGCTCAGTGGTTAAGATCACTTGCTGATCTTCCAGAGGAGCCAGGTTTGAATCCTAGAAATCATTTGGGTGACTCCCAACTACCTATAACTTCAGCTCCAGAGGACCTAACATCCTCTTCTACTCTCTGTGGACATCTTTACATATGTGGGAGACAAGCATACACATAAATAAAAATATTTTTTCGAGACAGGGTTTTTCTGTCTTAGCCTTGGCTGTTCTGGACTCACTCTTTGGAACAGGATTGCCTCCAACCCACAGAGATCTGCCTGCTTCTGCTTCCCCAAGTGCTGGGATTACAGGCATGTGGCACCATGCACAGTTTAATAAAAGTATTTTAAAAGAATTATATTTTTATCCCTTTTTAGGTAAGTAAGAAAACAAACTTATTTTCTGCACTTAGGAATTTACTTACAAATCCTTAAACTTTATTTTCTAGTTTAAGAAGCAAATTTAAGCTGGGCATAGTGGCACATGTCTTTAGTTCTAGCATTTGGGAGGCAGGCAGATTGCTAAATTTGAGCCTAACCTGGTCTACAAAGTGAGTTCCAGGCCAGCTAGGGCCACCCAGAGAAACTGTCTCGAACTTCCCTGTAGCCCTCCCACCCCCTACCCAAAAGAAGCAGCAGCAAATTCAGCATTTAGGGCTTAGAAGAACCCACATTATACCATGTGGGTTTCAGAGATTAAACCCAGACTGTCAGGCTTAGTAGCCTTCACCAACTAAACCATCTCATTAGTCCTTTTCAGCTTAGGGTTTTTTGTTTGTTTGTTTGTTTGTTTAAAACAATAACAACAAAGTCTTAGTCTACAGCCCAGAGTAGCGTAGAACTCACTATACAGGCCAGGATAGCCTCAAGCTTGCAGTGGCTCTCACGCCTCTGCTTTCCAAGTGCTAGGATTACAGATACGTGCTGCCATACCTGTCTTGCAAAATATCTTTATTCAAAAACATCAAAGTAAAGTATAATAGTAAATACATAAAGGAGTATCATCAGGGACAGACGTTTACAGAAGCTCAGAAAGGTAGAGAAAAAAGAGAACATATTAGGTTATCAGCCGGAGCTACAAAACAAACAGGGCCCACAGGACAGGACACTTAGAGTAAGTGTGGGTCTTCCATAGTATATTAGTTAGGGTTGCTGTTGCTATGATAAAACGCTATGACCAAAGTAACTTGGGGAGAAAAGGGCTTATTTCACTCACAATTCATGATAAAAAGTAGTGAGGGCAGGAACTCAGACAGGGCAGGAACCTGGAGGTAGGAGTTGAAGCAGAGGCCATAAAGGAATGCTGTTTACTGGTTTGCTCAGCCTGCTTTCTAAGAAAATGCCGGATAGGCTTGCTTACAGCCCAATCTTATGGAGGCATTTTCTTCACTGAGGTTCCCTCTTCTCAGATGACTTTGGCTTGTTAATTTGACATAAAGCTATACAGCATACATAGTAAGCCTCAAAAAAAGCTTCAAGGACTAAGATGGCTCAGCACACAACATAAAATGTAATAAAAGATTTTTCAAAAAAGGCTTTCAAACAATAAGTGTATTCTCATCTTTTACTACTGAAGAATACAAATATAGGATAATGGAGAGATGGCTCAGAGGTTAAGAGCACTGGCTGCTTTTCCAAAGGTCCTGAGTTCAATTCCCACCAACAACATGATGGCTCACAACCATCTATAATGAGATATTGTGCCCCTTTCTGGCATGCAGACATACATGTATACATAATAAATAAATAAATCTTTAAAAAAAGAACACAAATATATGGGGTGATAATATAAATAATTCACTGTAGAACTACATTTGGAAACAGCTGGATATCCTCTTTTCATAAAAAGAAGCACGCGCACACACACACACAGTGAGGACCACATGTGCAACAGTGGCTTTTACTTAAAGAAGTAGGTGTTAGGACTACAAAGAGCCTATGGGGTTAGGAGGTGACACAAAGTCTCACTGTGTAGTCCAGGCTGGCTTTGTACTTTCGATCCTCCTATCTCAACCTGCTGAATGCTGGCGTTACAGCTCTGTGCCATCATGCCTGGGAAAGGCAAGCTTCTTTCTTTCCTTTTCTTTTCTTTTTTCCAATTCCATACTGAAGATTGGCACTTGCTAGCTACATCCTCAACTTGGAAAGGACTTTTAGTGAGAGTGCCAGGGGTTGGAAGAAAAGCCACAGATGAGCTAGATGGAGGCTTAAACACCATTACAAAGATGGTGAATGAGAAAAGTACCCTGAGTAGTACTGCCTTTCACTGGACAGTTATGTGTCTTAGACACTTTGTACTTCCTCTCAGCAGTGACACAGCTGCAAACCTTTTTGTTGGAATGGTCAACAGTGCAATGAGCGGTCTAAGCCTACCTGCTGGCTTCTTCAGTTATGCTGAAGTGCCCTCCCTGCTGGAGCCTTTCCTATCCTGGTCTGCCTACCAGACAGGAACTGTTCCCATACCCTGTCCCACTGCGGTCCCCAGCACATGAACTGAACACATGTTTAAGTTTAGTGTGTTCTGTTATGACAGGCCTTTATCTCCCTCCCACCTTTCTATTTTCCAGCTAGTGGATCCTTCACAACTTTGTTGCCAGATATTCAGTTTAAGTTCCTTGTTCCTATAAAATAAAACTTTATTTCAGAAACATATGTAAAAGTCACACTGATATGCTTCTACATTACTTTTATGTTCTAAGTGCAATAAGCTGAAGCCTGAAAACAGTAAAAAGTTGAAGGTGGGTAGGTGAAATGGCTTATGCAACCAAGCCTGACAGTCTGAGCTCCATCCCTTAGACCAATGGTTCTCAGCCTGTGGATCGTGACCCTTTTGAGAGGTGTGTGTCAAACCACTCCTTCACAGCTAAGACCATTGGAAAACAGATATTCATACTATAATTCATAACAGTAGCAAAATTATAGTCATGAAGTAGTAAAAAAATAATTTTATGGTTGGGGGGTCACCCTAACATGAGGAACTAGGGTCACAGCATTAGGAAGGTTGAGAACCACTGCCTTAGACCCACATGGTAGAGAAATGATTCCCACAAGTTGTTGTTTGACCTCCACATGCCCATCATGGAACATACACATACATATAAAAATGCTCACAAAATAAAGGAATTAAAAAATGTAATTTAGGAGCACTGGCTGCTCTTCTCAGGTTCAATTTCTAGCACTCACATGATAGTTAACCACTGTAACTCCAGTTTCAGGGATTCTGATGCCCTCTTCTGGCCTCCATAGGCATCAAGCATGCATCTAGTACACAGACATGCATGAAGGCAAAACACCCACATGCATATTTTAAAAAGTTGAATGTGAACAAAAGACTTTTGTCCAGTTCAGAAAAGTGGACAA